GAGAAAACGCAAAATCCGAGAGGCCATCGATATACAGACCGAGAGAAATCTAATGAACAGGAGACTTGTAAAAAGCAGGATCAGCGAAAACTTTTTATATTGCCTAAACATACTCGAAGAAGACCAGTCAACGGAAAGATCAGCAAAAAGAAGACGACTAGACCAGGGTAATATCTTTAATTTCGGGAAAAGATATCGCAAGAGGATGAGAAAGGAATAAGCAGAAGCAAAGAGGAGACGTCTTTAATGGACCCGTTTAAAACAAGTGAAACTACAACATTTGTGGGTTGGCACACAAGAGACTAGGACATAAGACGTGATAGTGATGGTATTATAGATAGAAACAGGAAAGACAAGGTGGAGACTAAAGCTGTTTGGTTAACAATAGACGTGTTTGATCTTAAACGTGATCCTTGAATCACGACTATTGTTAGTCAACTAGCTCTAGCTTTCACTTTTTTTATCCTCTTTATATCTATACTACCAATTCTATTACTTCCTCTGCCATAGTCTCTTGTGTGCCAACCCACAAATGTTGTGGTTCAACAGTGAACCTAATCAAAGCAAGTATTACAACAACATTTGTGGTTTAGCACACAAGATACTAAGGCCTAACAAATCATAGTCGGGTTTAATGCTAAACAATTAGCTGGATATAGAGATTAGACAAACAAGTAAGCAGATTATTATGTAATATATTTAAATCAACTAAACAGATAGCACTATAAATTGGAATAGTGGGAATAACAAATAAAATTGAAATTATTGTGCCTAATGTATAAGCTTAGATAGAGAGAGGAGGATGGAACGAGTGGCAGAGTAGATCAAGATCAGAAGGCTTGATTAGCCTCAAATCTTGCTTTTAATTTCACACCTCACACATGCCACGATATTGCATACATAAATCTCACGTGCACTGGAGCAAAGTCACATGCGGCCACAATGCTGGATCAATAATATAGGTAGTTTGGGTAAGTACGCAACCGGTCAGTGACACTTGAATCCGTTTCCTGCTTCATATGCATCTACTTCGCTTATCAACAAGCTTGTAGGAAAGGCACAGTATAGTAAATGGTATCATGAGATGTCTCATTAAGTGTGCCAAGTCAGCCTATAAGAATTAGGTAGGTTTAAAGCCGGCCATCTTTCTTTTTATTGTGTTTTAGTAAATTATCGTAAGGCATGGCTTCCTGATTTGATGGTGTACGTAATACGGTGGACGAAAGCTCAGCAAGGATTCATCGGAAGCGCGAGGCAAATCACAAGGGCCTATTCGCACAAATATACACCAATGACTCTG